ATTTATACAAGAATATTCAAACATTCCGACACTCGTATGAATGTGATAATAATATAACAATGTAATTTCTTTAGCTCAACGCCCTTTATTTACGTGCGGTTATATCGAATTTCATTCTATTCTATCCGATTTGAATTTGAAAATATGATACCGCTTCGTTTATATATTTTATTGATGTTGGAAAAACGAAGATTGTTTATTCAGAATGTAAATCAGCATTGTCACACACGATTTTAGTTGATTACTATAGACAATTAGCATAACTCAAATAAAGAGTCTTGCAGGAGTACGACGAATTTTTCCGCACAGTGGTAGATGCGCATTTCATTAAGCTAGTTCAAAATGATATTTGTTCCATTTTTCAAACCTTTCAAGCTGCGTAAAGTTCGAGAGCAAAAAATATGATTAAACCTTGGCATCGAAATTTTCTTTAATTTAATAGCAGAAGAACTCGCAAAAGATTTTTCACACTTTCATGATGAACTCATTTGAAAGTATTCTATTTTCTAACATAACACTATAATAAAAAATATGTCTGACGTTAATTTTGCCATAGAAATTATTTTTGAAACACTTTTCATAACAAAAGTCACAAAAAATTTTGATTTTTGTATGGGAGCCATGTCTGTATGCTTAATAGTGTGAAACTTTGCACAGGTTATTTTTTCACCAAAAAAATAACATTCGGAGGGTTTGGAGAAATTTCAACCAAAATTAAGAGTACCTCCCATACAAAATATTCGTTTTTGAGTCAAGTTTCACGTCATTAGGGTAGCATACAGGCAGGGCTCCCATACAAAAATTCAATTTTTTTGTGATTTTTTCAAGGAAACTGTATCAAAAATTGATTGTATCTCTGAAGCGTAAAAATGTGTTCGATGTCGAAATTGAACCACATAAATAAAATGAAAACAAAAATAAAATCAAATGGGATTCCTTTGATCAGACAATTTCCAAAAACGAAAAAAAAGAGAGACCGCTTACGAATATCACGAGTATTAACCCTTAACCGGACAGGTCGAGTCTCTGAGGACCGGTAGCGCATTTAAATAAAAGATACATAAAATCGCATAAAATATTATTTTAATCAAACAAATTGTTTTGTAATTAATGAATAAAAACAAAAGTGTTTTGTAATTCTTTCATCCTTCTACTAATCGTTGATAAAAGTTGTTTTGAATTTTGTTGCGCTGTATTGAGGTTTTAACAGCTACCGGACGTACATTTTTCATACAAAATGTCATCATTTTTTTTTTTAAATACAGTGTAAAATGTTTACTAAACAACTACTGAACTGAAACTTAAATTCATCCGATTCGGAATAAATATTGATTATTTTTTCATTTTCTCAGTTATATTTTACAAAAAACATATTTTAATTCAATATCTATTATGTTAAAAGAATAATTTTCGTCGTATAAATTCAATGAAATTTGAAAAAAGAAAAAAACATTTTTTTCATTGAATTTGCATGGAAAATGTACGTCGGGTCTCAGAGGCACCACTTGCCCGATAACGTTAGGATTTTTGACCTGCACGGTTAAGGGATTACATTATCATACATTATATAAAAATCGTTCAATCTAAATTATCATTTTAATAAATTGTGTGGTGAAGTTTCAATTTAATATGTTACGAGTAGAATTCTTATATACATTCCCGGAAATTCGTATATTATAATAAAATAGTTTTTTCTTTTTTTTTTGTTCGTAGCTGACAGGAATCATGAAGACTACTATAGATTTATGCGAGATGATTTACGCAAATTAACTGTTCGATTAAACGATCTTGCTGAAGATGGAAGATCATATCGATGTATGATCACATCAGTTGAAACATACTGTAAGTACTCGATTTTATTTTATTCCATATTGAATTTATATAAATACACAACTTTAGTATAGATAGTACTATTACGAAGAATAAAAGAGTTCTAGTCAGTTGGATGAAAGTGAGCAAAAATTTGTTCATTATTTCGTACAGATTACAGTGAATTCAGATGTTTGTTAGTTGTGTGAGAGTTTGTGTAGGGTAGATCTGCTAAAAGTGAGACCTATTTTTGTTTTCAAGTATAAAACTTTTTTATGAAAACATATCCAAAAGATTGATATTCCGTTGGATAGATATTGACCACAACATTTTAACCATGTAAAATCAGACGGCAACATAAATTTCAATCTAAATGCAAGAAAGAAAAAAAAATGAAATAAAACACAAAACATATTATTATTCAGTTCATATTTATTACGTTTAATTGAGTTTTTTTAACAAAAATAACCGATTATTTTTTTACTCTATATGTTCGAATCCGAGTCGAAATTGGACCACACAAACATACTTGTTCGATTTCAAGTGAACCGTCTCCTTGCAGTTGTGTTATGAAATAGAGTTGTGTCTAATAAATAGAGCTTGCATATGGTTCACAAACAGTTTTGCCATCAAATGAAGGTAAAGAAGAGCAGGATTTGGATTTCTTTGAACGTTTTTGAGGTGTCTAATTTTGTGATAAACCGTTCGATATCTCTTTTATTCTTCTTTTCATAAGCATTATTGTTCTTTCGTTTTCCTTCCTTCAAAATCATGACTGTTTCTATAGAAGTTATGATTGTGGATTGCATTGTATGACGACCACGATTTGATTTTGTGGTTGGTTTGTTGACAAGACAAGCTCAATTGTACTAAGCTCAGCGGTAACACGACATGGTCTAAAAATCACTAAATTCGAAAAAATCAGAATGAAAATTTACAACAAATTCAATGCAATCACATGAAAACACTATTTGCCATCAAAAAAATAAAAGTTCAAATATGTCAACACTGTTTCATTTATACCATTATATATCATCTCACTTTTAGACAGATGACCTCCTTTTAGTTGTTCTTAAAAAATATTCACTTTATTCACTCGATAAATCGATAAAAAAGTTTTAACTTAAAATTTTCAAACTTGTCATTTCTAACTGTCATCTACAATCATTTTCAATTTCAAGTGTTTTAATAAATATGTATCTATTCAATTATTTTCGTAGTTGACAAGCGATTTGAAGACTACTATAGATATATGCGATGCGATTTACGTGACCTTATTGATCGCTTGAAAACGCTCGGTGAAGAGATGAGCCAACAAACCTTGCACAATTTCGTCGAGTCATATGAATCAGTTTCGAATCCAAAAAACTCGGATGATATTACAATACATGAAATCAGTGATTCGGAAGATGAGGATGACAACAACGTGTTCGAGGTTGAGTATATTGAAGGAGTGGATGGATTCGAGGGAGAGCAGACTCGAGAGGAAGAAGAAGAAAGACCAGACTTGATGGAAATTGGTGAAGGTATTCAGGGAGAAGAGAGTTTGATGGAGGAACGCTTCGAGAGGGAACGCGTTCTGGAGGAACGTATACAACAGCTCGAACAGGAAAACATGTGTCAACAAGGAATAATTCATCGTCATTCCGAAAAGATTAATCATCTACAGAAGCTATTGGAGCTCACAGCAAATGAAGACGTACCGATTGAAGATGTTCCAAAATGTGCAATCTGTTGGGTAAACCATACAAATAACAATCCCACCGCACTACGTAAATGTGGTCATACATTTTGTAACGAATGTATACTCATTTCTTTTGCCAACAAAAAGGAGTGTCCAAAATGTCGTCAAAGTATTAGACGCGATCAGATTTTAAAAATTCGCTTGAATTAAATGGAATGATTACAGCTAGGGCGATTGTCAATTCTTTCGATTTTCGATCGAATCTTATTTTTCTTTCTATCATCAAATGTTGCTGAACTAGAATGGAAACTAAATCGAAAAGAAAGATTTTTCAATCACTGTTGAAAATACAAATAATTATTTTCTCGAGTATTTTTGAATACTTTCCATTCTTTTTTGAAAATTCTTAAATTACAACCTTAAACTACAATCACTATAACAATTACTTCTATTGTTTTCTCTCTATTTTGAAGTCTGGCTCCAATGAATATCGGATACTGACAAAATATCCAGGATGTATATCTATGTTTAAATATCATAAGAGTAAATCGAGCCTAGAATAACACAAGCACACAATTGTTCAACTAAATTCATTTTGCAATCACAATAAATTCAGTTTTTTTTTCTAATAACATGAAATATGTGTTTTATTTTCAACTATTGACACGAAAACATCAACTTCAATCAAAGAAAGATAAGCTCTACATTTGGACAGTGTACACTTAGCACATTATACGATTTTTTATGCACTTCGAGCTTACAAATAAGTATCTGCTCAAAAAACTAACATAAAAATGAAAGTTGAACATTTCTGGATATGTTTTTAGTTCATGAATCATGAGTATCGACATGATTCGTCCAAAATTCAAAGAATTCACAAATCTTAAGTAAAGAATAACAAACTACTTTAGATTTTTGTTCTCTTCTTGAATTTCAAGGTGTGAAATTGTATTCAATTTTTGATGATTGTTTTTAGAAATCATGGTCTTAAGTTAATTCGTATTGGTCGTAACATTGCCTACACGTTCGTCGTATGGTTCTTCTAGGGTTGTGTTTGTTCTTATACGCAGTTTTCGCGGACGAACACAAACAAACACGAACAGCTCGCGTTCATGACCTGCCTTAGTGTGAACGTTCGTTGACTGTGAATGGTTGTGAGCAAACACAAAAATTAGATGTACAACAGTTCCCAGTGAACTCAACGGATGATATTCGGTAAAGCAGTGATGATGTGGCGAGTGTACACGAATCGTGAATTGTTCTAATACGCGTTACTGAAATCGTAAAGGTTTTAAACGAGTATGAATAGAGAATTGATAGATTGATGTACACTTCGTCAAAAGGATGGGCTATGCGATAGAGGGAAACAATAGAATAGTGTAACCAAATAAAACACAATTTTTTTATCCAAATGTTACGCACACGCACATATTTATTAAAAACTTAAAATGATACTATAAACTATCCTTATGAATCCTTACTACCATTGTCACACAGTTTGATTCTTTTACAATTTAATGTCTTCTCGAATTTTCATTAAAATTTTACCTAACATATTTACACCAGAATTTTTATGTCGTGAACAGGAACAAACACCCCAAAATCTATCATGGAATGTATTGTTTTCAACCAAATCTTGTTCGTGTGTCTTTTTCAATAAAAATTTCATTTTTGGATTTTCAAATTTAATACGAAGTAATTTTTCCATAACCAATACACGTTCTGAATCCCAGTTTGCTTTCATTCGAACACGTCTTCCGATTGACTTTGCTTCCACTGGTGTTTTTGCTTTACGTAATTTTTGTCTATCCTTAACATTCTCACATTTAGCTGCTTGGAATGCATGCTCGGCTGTTGGATAAACATCACCACCATATTCAATCTTCACAGGATAAAAATTTGACAAGAAAAAATATTCGTCACGGAATTTGTAAATCATTCTCTGATTTTAATGTACTCCTGTTTAGCTTGATATGTAACCGAATTTATTTTCAACTCTCAGATTTGAACGCAGAAAAAATTGTAAACGTATACAATAAAGAATCTAATTCCGACAAAAGAACAATGTTTTTTTTTGCGGATCACCTCACACAAACATGCAAGAACGTTACAAACTATACCAAATGCTCTGTATGAATGATTGAGTCACTTTTCTAATACACTTATGAATACAATGAAGGAACGAACAAAAAGGAATATGTTTACTGTTCTCTTTTTTCTCAAATAAAATGAAAAAAAAAAACATCGATATTAGACACATGTTGAGTATACTTTGTTATATATGTGTTGTGGTTAATATAAATAAAAATACCGACAGCATGTGTGTAATAGAGATAGATAATGATCTTGTTTTCATGTCTTTTCATGTGAATTTCCTTTTGTTAGAATCCAAACAGAAGTCAAAACAAATAGAAAGTCAAAAATACAATGATAATATAAATTCGACCTAGTTTCTTTACGATCTCAGGTTTATGTCATCCATTTGGAAAGCACGATCTTGAAAACAATATCCATAAAAAGAACAATAGCGATGATTGAGGTGAGAAATCCGAAATTTGGCAATACATGCTATAGATTTTTGAAGTAATTACTTCATACCTAAATTATCATTTACAATTGTGAATCATAAACATTGTGAACTTCTAGAATTTGTCTTTGATACATTCAAGTGTTATAAAAAGGAAATTTCCATTTTTTTTTTATTTGTGAAGTGAACAAAAATGTTATGATGATTGAAAAATATATAATTAAAGTTGTTCTTTTATTCAATACAGAATAAAAAATGTTCAGTATTTTCATAATCGATACACTTTTATTCAATGATATAACAATTTCTTTTTGTAAAAATTGAAATAGATAGAACAATGTAGTGAAGCTTAATAGTAATCATCATCTGCAAACATTTGTGCAACGATTAATTTATAAAGAACTGGATCTTCATTTGCCATTTTTCCGTTTGGTAATCGCCAATATGAAGGAATGTCATCGGTTTCAAGGATCGGATCAACCTGTATGATTTGTTTCCTATTAGAACGTGATGTTTTTTGTTCGGTTAGCATGGATACATCTGCTTCCTGATTTGAGAATGATACATCCTTAATATCTCTGTCACGAGTTTTATTTTTGTTTGTTCCAAACACTCTGGCAGCTAGTTGAATGTCTTTTGATGTATTCATTGCTTGAAATTCCTTTTAGATCGAAAAAAAAAAAAAAAAATATATCAGTTCTTAAGTCACTTTTTCATAATTACAATTAAAAAAAAAACTTACACGTTGTACATAGTTGTGTTCATTCATTAAATTTGAATTCAAAGTTGAAAGATAATTATCATACGCTCGATTTACAAATTTATTGTCACTTTCATCAACAAAGAAATTATTTAAACCAGATAATATTTCGTCGTCAACACGATTCTCTTCATTATTAATAAAGAAAAATTCAACATCACGTTTTGATTGTTCTTTCAGTTGAATATTCATTTTATTAAAAAGTTGTGTCTGTTTTCAATAACATCCAATGCTCAACTAAATCCTTGCAAGAAAACATAGCAATACCGTTCACAGAGAAGAAAAAAAAACAGGTAAAAACATCGTTTCTCAAGTAGATGTGAAAGAAAATACTACCAACTGTTTTAGTTATTGTCAGGTGTGCTTGAAAACAATAAAATAAAAAAACAAGGGTTTTTGGTTTACATTTGTTTTTATTATGAATATAGGAATTTCGAGAGATAAAATTTCGAAAACTTCAATATCCGAAACAAATTTAAATGATTGTATGGGTGAATAAAATTGAAAATTTATTTCTTTTGCGGATATAAGATAAATTTAAAAAAAATCTTCGAATTCCAAAATTTCTTTGGCGAGCGAATATATTAAAGGATCTGATTCAAGTGATCTCTTTACTACTTTAAAAAGAAAACTAGGTATGTTAAACTTTTAGTTTTCTCCTTTTACATTTTTCGCTTCATGGACTAAAGTGTAGAACACTTTTTGTACAGATGATGAATTCAAATGTTCATACTCAAAGTTTATTATCTTTTCCATTTCACTCAATCGAACTAAGGAGCTGTTACGAAAAAACATGGCATGATCATTACCAACTCGTCATTATCACCGGCACGATTCACAA